TGTTGGTGGTGGTGGTGGTGGTTCGGGGAACAGCCTCTGCGGGAGACAAAAACGGCGGCCACAGACGAGCGAGGGGAAAGCCCGGCGCCGGCGAGAGCTCGCGGGGAAGAGGGGTGGAGGAAACAACCACCTGGGCTTCTCACATTCCTCGCGGCGAAACCTCGCGATGGCACACGCCCACCAACCGCCTCTGAGAGAGGCTCAGTCCGGTGGCCCCGCTCCACACACCGTCCCAGGCACGCGCCCGGCCACCCCAGCCACCAATTTGCGTGCACTGCTCGCGCAACTGGAAAGGAACTGAACCGACACCCCTCCTTCATCCCACTTTACTTACTTATTGGACGACGTTGTCCCGTAGGCCTAGCGACTTTCCCTTGGGCCCCCGGCCACTGCAGCGATCATGGCCCCCGGCCGCTGCGCGGCCCGGTGCCAGATACTCCACGGCCCGGCACCGGTCCGCAGACCGGGGGTTGGGGACCACTGTAGTAGATGTATAAGGAAGAAACTAACAACTCACCTTCAACTGAAAATCCTTCAGATGCCCCAGGCTAAGATCAGATATTTTTATCAATGTTGGGTAGATAATGGAAAAACTGCAATTTCGATGCTGATGAGGAACAATCATCGTAAACCTTCCACTCGGAGTCTGGGAGATGATATTGCAAGCTTTAGTACAGGGGGAAAGATACAGAATTACTGAGTCACAATTTGTTCACTTAAACGGAATGCAGACTGTTTAATCTGAGGCCTTGGCATTGAGACAGATAAGATGCTAATCAGCTGTACTGAGGTCTTCCAACAGTTTCTCCATTCAAAAATCAGGCATTTTCAATTTAAAGTCACAAATATCATACTGGCAGCGACAGAAAATAACCATTGCTTATTGGCCTATTTTACTGAAGTAATACTGAAGATGCTATGTAATGTAGTAGGGGAAAAATCCATAGGGGCTTCCAGTGTGCATACTTAAAAGTTCTCAGCACCAAAGTGTCTAACCTCAATTGTTCCTACATTGGCAGGACAGGAAAAAGGATGTTTTTTAAAAAGTGAATTTCCCTACACTTTTTGTCATGTAAGTTCATCTTATAAAGGCACACTCAACCCCACAAGAAAGACCAGATCCAAAAATCCACTCCAAGTAAAGGCTAAAGCTACTTTTATTGAAAGTGGCTCTAGTAACAGAATCTGGCAAGTGTTCTTGCTTTAAGCTTTCCTCATTTTAGCAGTCTAATTTTAGGAAAGACAGAGAGTAATCATTTTGTTGCTGGTTTTGTTAAAACACTTGTGGGCATAAATATTTATTTATTTATTTATTTATTTATTTATTTATTTATTTATTTATTTATTTATTTATTTATTTATTTATTTATTTATTTATT